CCCCCTTCCTTCTTCTTCCCCCAGCTTTATATACTGAGCGTGACGTTACATGGTATGGAATATCCCTTTGGCCAGTTTGGGTCAGCTGTCCTGGCTGTGCCCCCTCCCAGCTTCTTGTGCACCTCCAGCCTTCTCAGTCAGTAGAGCATGGGAAGCTGAAAAGTCCTTGACTAGTGTAAACACTGCCTAGCAACAACTAAAACATCAGTGTGTTATCAACATTGTTCTCACCCTAAATCCAAAACACAGCTCTGTACCAGCTACTAGGAAGGAAATTAACTCTATCCCTGCCGAAACCAGGACATATGCACAATGCATATTAAAGCATTATGATTTTTTTTTAGTGCCATCAAGATATTTATGTGTATCTCCAAGAAGTGGAATAGAGTTTGATACCACTTTGAACTGCATAGAATATAAGGATTGGAGTTTTAAAATTGAAAGTGTTCTTTGGAATCTTTGCTTTTGTAAAATTGCAATTCTTACCAGCATGTATGCAGAGCTTCCAACCAGATGTCTTAGATTGTACCATTGACTTCAGGATTTAAGTCCTGATCCCCACAAACTGAAGTTGCTGAGAGTGGTTCATAACTTCAGTTTGAGTCAGGATTTCCATTATAAGGATACAATCCTGGAGATTACCGGTAGCTTTTGAGAAGTAGATACATTTTTGATTATGTTAAAGTTCACCAAAATGTAGCAGGTTTTGGTCTTTGTCCTGTAGCTACCTGAAAAATATGGTTGAAATGTCATTTCAGAATTGAGGATTGTTGTTTCTTCTGCCTACCATTTATTTAAATATCTAAAATGTGTTTTTATGCAGATACTCTCCTCAAATATTTTCCACCACTGGACAAGCAGAGAAATGCAAAAATTTCCATTCTAAAGGATCATGATTTCTTAGAGTAGGTATCTGGAGTTTTTTGTTTCTATGTGAGCTTTCTTTTCAGTTTTTCTGGGAGTCAAATTTGCTTCTAGTATCAAAATCCAGCATAAAATATTTGTTTTATTTAACAAACTGATTTGCTTGCTGTTTGTGAGAGAAGGTAGAAGTGGTAAACAGCAATAGCAAAGCTTGAGATATGTTTCAAGGCCCAGGCTGTCTCCTAGCTGTGGATAGCAGCAGAGTAAGGGGAGTCAAGGAGTCCTCTAGTTCCGAGGAGCAGGTCTTCCCTTGTTGACACTTGTCAGGAAGAAAGCTATCATGCTGTAAAAGATCACCTATACTTTCTGACTTTTTAGAAATCTGACCTTTGGGTGGGATGGACCATCTTGGAGACTCCTCACAGCCCTCAAGTTGTTAAGTCTTGGAGCAGATGAATTGTAAGTTTCAGTACTTTTTGAATGTTTAGACAATGTGCATGTGACATTTTCCTTTATTTGCTCTTTGCTGGCTGTGCGTGAGACACTGGGACAATTTGGATTTCCTGTGTCTATCTCATTGCCTGCAGGTGAGAAGTGAAAAGAGGAAAGGCAAAGAACACCATATAATGCAAAGTCATTGCCTGTTTGCTGCCTTGGTCTTTTACTTTCTTGTGTTAAACACTAGAAACACCCCATTGTTTTCCCTTTCTATTTCAAGAATGAGATATTACTTTAAGGTTCAGACTCCAGACCTTTTTCCTGTTGGTTTGATAGGACTTTTAGATGCTATTGACCTTGCTTGATTTCTTTGAAGCATGTGTTCCACAGGCTGCTTCTGAAATTCTAGGACCAAATAAATCGCTGAAATTCATTTCCAGTGGCTGTCAGCATAGTTTTGATCATTTGTTCCAAATGGCAAATTTACCTTAAAAAGCATTAATAGAAAATGGTTACCTGGGCTTTGCTTGTAATAGTAAATAATAATTAAAAAAAAAGTCTTGTCTTGTTTGAAGCTGTTTATGCTTCAAAGATTTGTTGCTGAGAGGAATAAGTTGATAAGAATGAAAAATAAATCTCCGTGGTACTGGTTTCAAGCCCATGAAATGTGTCAGTATGTGAGGTGAAGTTTAGCAGAAGCCATGCTAATAAGTTCTGAGTGAATAGCTTTTACTCCTCACCGGTGCTGCTGAAGTTGGTGGCAGCATGGCAGAACAGTAAAGACTGGAAGCATTGGTCTAAGTGCAGACCGTGGCTTTGGCTGAAAGGGTAGGGGTGGGGGATTGGAACTGCTGGTCCAGACCATTAAATCTCTCTTCTCTTTTGCTTGCCTGATCGGTCTCATATCTGAATGCTGTGTGCCTTTTTCATGTATGCTGACCCTACTTGCCTTATGCCAGCGATGTTATTCTTAGCATAACCATAAGTTTATCATTCAGTTGGGGAATACAGCAAATGACTGTGTGTTGTTCAAACATTTTTGTTTTAGTACTTGCTGGAGGAGAACGCTGCTTGGTGATGTAATTTCAGCCAGAAACGAACAGCAGACTTTGAATATAACAGCAAAAATATGCCATTTTTTAATGGAGGAGACACAGCATGTCCTTCTTCAGGTAATTTGACTGGAAGAACAAGGTAGCCCAGATTCCTTTCTCTCCTAGCATAAATGTACCAGCAGTGTAATTTTCTGGGGTGAGAACAGAGTAACGGAGGGAATTGACTACACTGGGGTGGTATAGGATTTGTTTCCAGGGTGACTGACAGCACTAAATTACTCAGCAGAATTTGTGGCTGCAGCAAAGAAAGGAACCATGTTACAAAGCTTATACGAAGCCTTGTAAACAAGTGAAAGGTGTTTAACCTTGCTCTGCCTACAGTATCAATGTGTTTGTTGAGGTTACTTCTTAAAAGAAAATGCAGGCTTGTATGAGGTGGGCACATTAGATGTTGCAGACCTGCCATGAGTGCCTTGTTGCAGAAAGTGAAGGCTGTGTTCATTAAAGCCAGTCAAGCCCAACGAGCTACCCATGTCAGCCAGTCTCCCGTGAGGGAGGTCTGTACTCTTAGAAAAACAATCTCTCCTTCCTTTCTGAATTTTGGCAAACAACATGTGTACTTAATGTCAAGTTGGATAGCTATCATGGGAAAGGGTTATTAAAACCACACTTCTGCAAAGGAAATGCGTATATGCACAGAGTATGAGGTGAATCTGGTCTTGAGCAACATCTTGAGGATAGTATGGACTTAGGAGCCTGATATCAGGTAACCATTTCCCTTCCCTTCCCCTCCTTGTTTTTGGTCTGCTTCCTATCCATGTGATGATTTTTTTTTCCTTTTTTTTCCCCTTCTTTTTTTCTTTTACTGTTACAGTTTCTCTTGTGGAAAGTTAAAAAAAATACTGTATTTTGACATAGTTCATGGAATCCCTACCACAGAGGAGCTTTACACAAATTTCATGTTCATGTCCTATATGAAATAATCTGAATTTTTAGTAATTTCATCCCATTTGTATAAACTTCAGATTTCCCAGTTGAAAAGGAACAAAGAGAACCTCAAAAAACAACTGGCTTTGGTAGAAGCACTGCGCTTGGAAGATCTGAAGATACTACAAAAATCAGCTGAGATTCTTTGTGACTTGAATATGGCAACAACTTGACCCATCTGGAGCTGTGATAGCTGCGGCTGATTTGAGCTCATTTGCCATGGATGTGCCTTGCTCAACTGTTTTAATGGACCTGAGCAGCAAAGAATAATGTAAAAAGTCATCAGAATACGCCTAGTTTTGTTTACAGGGTCACACAGGACCCAGAGTCTTATTTTGTTCTTTGCTGACCTTCTTCAGTAATGCAAAAGGTTAGCCCACATGCTAGGGGGGAGCACAGGTGGCTTTCATCACATCTCATCCAAATCACGCTGCTGTGAGCAAAACAGCTTCTGGGGTAATTTGAGCAGCCCTAGGATTGTGGGCTCCAGCAGTCCTAGACTTTACAGCTGCCTGTGTGGCTAAAGCATGGATCATAGGGTCAAGCAGATACTCCTCAGTGTGTATTGACAGAGTGCACTTGACAGAGAGGCAGAGCACAGAGCCGCTTATATTTGCCCTGTACTGATCCTTTACTTTTTCCCTGAGATCTGTACATGTCCCCAAGAGTTAGCAGTTCATGCAGTGCCTGTTCATTGCTGGGGTAATAGATGCGGATTAGAGCACAGACCAGCCCTATGGTGACCAGCTCCAAATCATTCCCTTTACAGTTTCAGCCCAAGTGTTTCTTGAACGTAAGGAAGTGTGAACTTCCCTCCTTTACTCTCAAAGTTCCCTCCAAACTCACTAGTTCTTGTTCTGACTCCTCCTGCTGGGAATGAGAACTGAAAGGATTTATCACTTTGAACTCTTGTTTCTTGTTTGGAAGACCACCCAGGCAATTAATTCTGTTTCCGTTCAGTTCTGGTGATCACACTGAGAAATGTTCCCATCCTGTCTACAAGGGGATAGTCTCATGAGCTGCCTTTCAGTATTAGTTCTACTTAAGTAGGGAGCTTGAGTTCCCTATGTCGTTTAGAGAAGAGAGAGACTTCTTCAAAGGGCATTTCAGGGCAGGACCCTTATTTAAGCTGTGTAAACTTCATTTATAATTGTGATTGGGTTGTGATTATTTTCCATTTTGTGGGGAATCACATTTCATAGAATTTTTCATTACTATTTTTAGCATTTTTTTAAGAACTGTGTTTTTAAAGTGTTTATTTTTGTAAATATATCGGTTCATTTTCTGCAAGACTTCTCTATTTTTGAAATAAATGAAATTGTATACAGCAGTATAGGCATTCTAGATAATGATATAATTTAAAGAAAAAAATGCAACAAGTGAAAACTGTGAAGTATTCAAGCTCAACTGCACTTTCAGACTTTCTTTGGTACCTTGTGAACAAGAATGTTATTGTGTAAACTTGCTTGAATTTGAGGATTCCAGGGGTTTTCCCTGCTTTTTTTTCCTGCGTCGGTCTTGATACGTGGAGCTCTGAGAAGGACCTTTCCTCACCTAGAAGGAAATGTTGGTTTAGGTTCAAAAGACTGGGGGAACTGAGAAGTGTAACTGTTTGCTGTTACTCAGTTTCCAAAAACAGAAGTTCTTGCTTTTGAGGTGCCATCTTCATAACCTCTTCCTAGGATTAGGAAGTTCTGAAAATAAGCTATTTTTTGCCTTGTTTACTGTAGTGCACCGAGACTCTTGTGCTCTCAGGCTTTCTGTATTGCTCATCTGGAGATGCTGACAATGTGTGGTTGCTTTACATTTCACAGCAGAGGGCAGGGTGAATGGGTTGGGAGAGGAACGGAAGTGCTCTCTGGAGCTAGAAGCGCATTTATTACATCCTTTGGGCCAACTTAATTTCCTATTTGCCTAAACTGTGGCTTTAACCCCTGCAAGTCACTTGGCACCATATTTTATACTCTGGTCGGTCCCATTCTGAAGTACCGCCTGGGATGAGATGACTGGATTTGGGAATGCAATCTCTACTAATCTCGCTGAGGGCAATTCTCATCTGCTCACGTTAAGGGTCCTTCTGTACCACCGAACCTGGCTACAGCAGAGAAAGCAGGGCTGAGACCCTGACCCGGTGACTGTTGCCCATTCATTTTGATTAGGTCTGCCAAAAGGTCTACAGAAGTCATGGATGACATGAAGAGGGTGGATGGTGTCCGGGCATTCACAATCCGAGAAGTAAGGGCTTTCAAAGGAAGCTTGAAGAAGTCGGGTTCAAAACTAACAGAATGTGGTAAGAAATCCACTGGTGTTCCTAAGGAATGTGGATACAAAAGTTGACATGGGTGCAGAGCACATACACATGGAAGACAGAGCCGTTGGCAGTTACCAGCTAGCCAGACAACTTTGGTCTTGTGTAGTCCCCAATCTCAAAATACTTGAAGGTTGGGAGGGTATTGATGGCAGGTATTATATACGCTCGACCTGTGCTTGCTCTTAAGGTGTTGGTGGACACTGTGGGAAACAGGGTACTAGGCTAGAGGGATCCTCACTTTGAACATGTCCTGCAATTTTGATGATTACAGTTGAACTGTTTGACCTCTTACTTTCTTTTAATAAAAACTTTTTCATTCTCTAAGAACAGATGTGTTTCTCATTTTATAATTTTATAATGAGATGGTATCAGAGTTAAAGAAGATAAAGATGTTTGGTTGGGTGTTTTTTTTTTTTTTCTTTTTTTTCTGGAGATGGCTATTTTAAGAACAACTTCTGTATGATGTGTCTTGCAAGATGGATACTAGTTTGACAGAAGTTTATTTGCTTCAGTATTGCACTATAGACCACATTTATACCAGGTGGCTTGAATATGGGCTCTATTTCTGCAACTCCTACAGGCCCTCCAGGGAGTGTAGGAAGGGGATCTGGCAGTGCAGGAGAGTAGGCAGCATGAACTTCTTGTCTGTCTCTTGCATGTAAGCGCAGCAGTAAGCCCCCAGCTTTACCTTAAGCACTGTAGCAAGTGTTCTCAATAGAGCCATGTGTGTTTAACGTCAAAGGCAAAATCCTGCCTGAATAAACTATGGAATGGGAACTAGTGCTTTTGTAACACACATCAATAGCAATGGATTTTTAACAGGAATAAACCGGCGTAACACAGGTCATGATTCAGCATTTATGTATATATATGCCTAGTGCCCTGGTTTTGGCTGGGATAGAGTTAATTTTCTTCCTAGTAGCTGGTACAGTGCTGTGTTTTAGGTTTAGTATGAGAATAATGTTGATAACACACTGATGTTTTAGCTGTTACTGAGCAGTGCTTACACTAAGTCAAGGCCTTTCCAGCTTCCCATGCTCTACCGACTGAGAAGGCTGGAGGTGCACAAGAAGCCGGGAGGGGGCACAGCCAGGACAGCTGACCCAAACTGGCCACAGGGACATTCCATACCATGTGACGTCATGCGCAGTACATAAACTGGGGAAAGCTGGCTGGGGGGGCCGCTGCTCGGGGACTGGCTGGGCATCGGTTGGTGGGTGGTGAGCATTTGCATCGTGCGTCACTTGCTTTGTATATACTTTTAAAATTATTATTATTGCTATTTTATTTTATTTTATTTCAATTATTAAACTATTCTCATCTCAACCCACGAGTTTTCTCACTTTTACTCTTCCGATTCTCTCCCCCATCCCACCGGGGGCAGGGAGAGTGAGCGAGCGGCTGTGTGGTGCTCAGTTGCCAGCTGAGATTGAGCAGAAGCTTAAATTCTTTTTTGAATCAAACCTAAACTATGTGCAAGACGGCATCCTAAGCTGGGCTAAGAGCTACTGAGGAAGTAACGGCACTGGGAGTGCTCTCCAGCTGTCTTTCTTACAGAACGCTAAATCAAGTTTTCAAAGAGTGAAGACGCTTACTCTCAGCCTCTACTTTAACTAGAGCCCCTTTGAGCTGCAAACATCTTAATCGCTTAGCTTTAGTGACGTGCTGTTAACATTTGGCTCTGGCTCTCTGTTAGACTAAGAAGGGATTTAGCTGTGATCTTAGTGTGGAAAGACATACTTTATTTCCCTCTGTATAAATTTCCTTTCAGATCGTATCTGCAAATCTCAGCAATAGTAGGAATAAACCCCAGCTTTTTACCATTAGCAATATGAACCTGGTATAGACCATGGCAGTGAGCTAGATTCTCTTCCAGCTTGTGCAGTGTTACTCAGAGAGTGCTAAAGTAGGAATGCATTCTGTGACTGCAGTGAAAACACTGGGTTTAGGTAGGTGTAATGAGAGAAGCTTTATTTCTTGTGATAAGAGCGTGAGACAGAAATAGCACAGCTTGATTTTTTTTTTTTTTTGAGGGGAAGTTGATTTAGTGCAGTCTGAAGTCACTGAAAAATGATAAACATGAAACCTCATGACAGTATCTTTCCTGTGTCAATTTATGTAAATATGGCACGGATTTTCTTTGATCTTCTACAGAGAGTGGCTTCTAGTTTACAGTTTTCTTCAGCTGTAATGTGTGGAGATCATCCATCATTGCTAAGTGCCTTTAGACCTGTCTGTTTCAGGACAAAATAAGGGAGTATCAACTCTCATACCCTCATAATTAAAGCTTTTAGGTACGCTATGAAAAAATTTCAAAGATGATATTTCCAAAGAAAGAGCTTTTAAAAATGATGTTGCCCAGGGTATGTAGCCCCTTCCCACCTAGAAGGTAAAGAATACCTCTCTAAAAGTGCCACACTTCGTCGTAATTTGAAGTGTTTGTTGGCACTCAGTGCATCTATGACTACAGTGGTGAAGATAATGAACTCTAGGACAGAGGGAAATTGTCCCAACAGAACTTTATGGGTTTCTTTACACAACAAATATGAACTAAAGTTGTTAAAAGGCTTACAAATTTTCCCTCAGTTTGGACCAGCAGTTGGATCTGAACCGTGTGAAATTCATTATTTTTATCATTTCAGTACAAAAGCAGGGAAATCGCAGCTTGATGGCTGAATTCAACTAGAAGAACTTGATTTTGTCCCTATCTAACAAAGGTTAGGTGGCATCAGTCTGCTGCAGGTTGGAGTGGAAAGAAAAAAATACGTTTCCAGTTCATTCCACTGAATGTTTTAGTGGATATCTGTAATTCCGGAATTAAGTTTTAGAAAGCACTGCAATGAGCTATATTCAGTGGAAAAGCAAAGATACTCAATGAACCCCAAAGTAAATTGTGTAAAACCAGTGCAAAACTAATGCAATCTCTGTGTTGTCCACTAGATGATGCAACTGTACTAGAGAAATAAGAAATTACAGTAAATCCACATGCATTATAATCCTATTTAGTGTATTATATTTTTAGTAGTAAAAAGAGTTGTCGTCAATGATACACCATGGTTGGTATTAGATAAATAGTGGAAAAGGTAGTTTTCTCTCTGGTGGTTTCAAGTGAAACTAGAAGCTTTGTAATATTTTCTCTTTTCTCAGTTTGATTGTATTTTAACTTTGTTGGAGTTGCTCCTCTCTCAAGTTGAATCATGTCGTTCTTCCCTGAAACTGTCACCCGAGACATAACTAATGGTTCAAATCATCTTTGTTATGTTAACTTGACCCTAATGGTTTAGCTAGTGGGGTTGCAATGGAGAACTGTCTGCTCATGTGTTTTTTCTTCAGAGATTAGGGGCCAGATTCATCTTTTGCACAGATCCCTTTCAATAATGTCCTTTGATGTGGCTGATTGAACTCTGATTGAAACGTTTCCTCTGTGTAGGGTGATTTTGTGGACTCTCCCTTGTGACAGTTCTCTAGTATCTCATAGTAATAAGCTGATGTTTGACCCTTTCCTTTGCGGTGCATTTTTTCACTGCCCATTTTCGTGTCTTCTGTCTGCTTGTTACTTTTGATGTGTGTTTGTTGCCTTGCTCAGTTTCCCAGGGGCTTCTGAAACAGCCAGTGTGTGTCTACTCTGCATGTCCTTAGAGCCCCTTCAGATTGTCCCAGTTGCTCTACAGCTAAAAAGAGGAGGAGTGGAGGCACCTGCTGCTTGCAAAGCTACTGTTTTCTCCTGAAGCCCTCTCTCCTGTTCCTTAGCTCTTTCCCTCTGCTTCCAGTGCTGGACCATACTGCGACATGCCAATCTTGAGAGCACTGAAGTAGATTGTGCTCTAGTACCACCCTGTGCATGGCAGGAGGCAGGTATTTGCAGTGCACTTCTAGTGTAAGAATGTTTTTCCTCTTTACATATACC